TGCCATTCATAGCAATGCTGTGCCAAGGAGGACTTGAGTGGTGAGCAGTCCAGCCTGACAAAACCTATGGTCAATACCATCTCCTCCTGTTGAACAGTGTTGGCCTTTTCTGCGTACCTGAAGGTGAGCGAGAGATGAGGGAGATGTTAAACAACTTCTTTTAAAGGATTTCTTCTGCCATATTGAAATGTAAAGTTCACAGCTATATAGTCAGGTCAACTAAAGAATGATATTCAGGTACTTTTGTATATCTGCATCAAAAGAAGTGACTGGTGGGTTAAGTCTCTGATAGCGTTGTATAAAGGAGTCCTTGTTCATCTCCCAGATGTCTCTGTATTTGTCCCAGGTCTTCAGATAGGCCTGCAGGTGGCTGGCATTGGCTGTCATCCCTGCGGCAACTGTAGCCTGAATCTTCTTTATCTCTTTGTCTTGCTCTGAGGGATCAAAGAGGGTTAAGGTGAAGACGGAGGCAAAAGTAGAAGGAAAACATGCTCACAAGTATATAATATATAGTTTGTTTTTTATGTACATCAAGTCTGAATTTACCCACTACTCCGTAAAAACAGGTCAGAGGTACATACAAGCAGTGTTCTAATAGAATGTACATTTTCTAAGGAACATATGCTGAAAATCATGAACACACTTTTTTGAAAAATAGTTCTAACCGATGTTGACGTGTATGGGATTCCTCTGTGAATGCTTGGTGTTGAGAAGTTCAGGCAGTCGCTTAATGGTGGCGATGGTGTTGATGAGCTGAGGCATGATGTTCACAATCCGCACAAGTTTTCCAAGCGTCGGGGAGAACTCGACCTGTCAAAACAGAAACAGACAAGCACTCACACTGCTGTTGAGATCATTTACATACCTGTGTGTGGGTGTCTCAAAGGACCAAAGTGTGCACAACAACAAAAGTCATACCATAACCATGCAGCATCTCTGCCGTGATAAACACAACAAAATGTTCCCCAAAATAAAATCCTTCACCTGTGTGTGTTTGGGTGTACTGTCATGTTCCCAGGGTGGAATTTGTCTCATTCCTACTGACAATTAAGAAGTCAAATTCAATATGAGCCTGATAGAGGATAGAGACGAGAAGGAGGCGGGAGTAGGGCACACCCTTTTGGTTTCGTTTCTATCTGTGGTTATATTAAATATTAACCTACATAAATGGAAACTAACAATAAAATATGACATTTAATTTACATGGCTTCACAAATACGAGAGAATAAGGTCAGGATTCCTCCTGGTTCCAGTGACGCTACACTGGGAGAGATGAGTAGGACTGATCAGGTAAGATCTGCATCGCCTTATGCTCCTGTTAATAATTTGTATAGCTGTTTTGTGCAAATTTTGTTTGTGGGGATTAAATCCCCCCAGACCTAAACATAAAAAAACTGTAATGTTTTGTCCATAGTCTGCATATGACAGAGAAAACAGCATGTGAGAGAGGAACAAACATATATGTTGACCGCTGCATCTTTTGAGTAGAGTCCTAAATATCTGCAGATGTAGGTGTGGGTTTGTGTTCTATGCTGTTTATTCAGGACATGCAGCTATCGTCCTGGCACGGATGGATGACAATGTGTGTCTTTTTCTGAGTGAGTTTAAGGTTTCCTCCATCAGCATCGAGCATACAGCAGACACAGTGTAAACAAGTCACTATCACATGACGTAATCTGATTACGAGGGGTTGACTGTACCTTTGGTGTGGTTTGGGGAGTTGTCTGGTGTAGTGTCACCAAGACTTTGAACAATGGATTGGCTAACGTCTTGCTGTCTCCGTTGATGACCCTGGACAGCTTCTTCATCGACTGCTTGATGTTGCTCCTAAGAGCCTCCTCAACCATTTTGTCCACCTTCTCTGTGTAAGCTAACCAGTGCCCCTGGACCTTAAAATACAATGGTAAAAATGTACATATGTAACATGGCAGTCACATAATTGGGTTTTACCTGACATTATATGAAAGCAGCTAAAGGATTAGTAAATCTTGCTGTCAATCAGAAAAAAGGATGTCCTACCTAATAGATACAGTCGGAAATAACAAGTGATTGCTATTTAATGTACATGTAATTATCTAACCATGTGAAAGTTAATTTTCTCACAATACATTTATAAATATAATAGGGAACAGTTTTCAAAGAGTCGATGACGATGGAATATTATCAATATTGAATGACTGAAACAAAATGCAGCACAGACCTCAAATCCATTATGAGAGAAAGTGTTGTAGATGCGGGTCATGATCTCAGTAATTTCTTGGTGTGCTGAGAGCAGTATTTGGAGTTGGCTCTGCTGTTGAGCCTTCTGGTCCTCCTCAAACTCCAGGTCCCTAAAAACAGCAACCAACAAAGGAAACCAACGTGCATTATTTGAGATCCATGTTATAATTATAATGCAACCTATGCACATCTCCAGAAAATGGAGATGCTTGTTGTTGACTTCATCAGAGGGCTTAGATAACACAGTCCAAGAGAAAATTAATGAAACAATTAAGAAAAGTTTACTGAGAAATTATGTTTACAGTTAAATAAAGAAAACAACCTTACCCAGTGTTAAATGTATTTCATGAATATGTCATAAAAGGTGGTTTAAAAAGAAATTACATCATTGTTTCTACCTGTACATGGTCTTTCCATCTAGTCTAATCAGCAATGCCTCACTGATCTGGTGACAGAGGTTGGAGATGGAGAGATTTGACACTTTGTAACTCTCAACTATCAGCTGGACCTGCAGAGCAAAGGAGAGGGAACAAGACGAGCTGCTCAGTCACTAATGTGGTTTTGAAACTGGTTCCAAATTGTGTTCCTCTTCTAAAGTACACTCAAAGTAATAGTCAGGGGATTTGAATCACACAACCCAGGCCACTGCTACAGTCTGAACCTCAGAAAACAAGACCAGGTCAAAACCATTCTACTGATTATGGCTGGATCATGTAAGGTCACTGTCATGTAAGATCAAAGTGTGAAGGGGATGTCGTGGAAAACTTGTGAAACCATTGTTAACAGCTGCCTTCAAGTGGAGATGAATCCTGCTTGACAACTCACCAAATCACACTTGATTAACATGTTTCTTATGTGACTGCATCCCAGCATCAGCCAGATTTACTATTTGAAACAGCCAAATTCCCAATAAAACAGTTCTTTAAATATTTTTCCATCTCTTTTGTCAGATAATGGAATGAGTGACTAAAGATCAGATTTTGTGACAGTGACATCATCTGTTGCACTGTGATTTCAGCTATATTTACCACTCTGAGAGGATATCTCTCTTATTACATCACAGAGACCACAGCTTCCATCTAGCTAACAAACTGCTGAAGAAAAAGAATTGACTAAGGGAGCTTTAAAAGCGATGTCATAAAAAACTAGTCAGGCGATAAGGAAACTCCAACACACGATGTAACTTTGTCATCAGTCAGTCAGCAACATTTGCATTTACAGGTTTGGCCCTGCTGCTGCTGCAGCCCTAACAAAGAAGTGACATTGTGACAATAACAATAAAGCTGCACCAACATCCATTTAAAGTTTTGATCTGTGTGTTACAACCTTGTCAATGTGCAGGAGACAGTCTCGGGTGAAGAGGTGAGCTGGTTCCTTAGACGACCACAGGAGCCTGGTCAGTCCTGCCTGAATCTTCTTATCCATCAGACGAATTCGCTCCCGAAACAGACCCAACTCATCAGGAGACAGCATTCCAATGATTCTGATACACACACACACACACACACACACACACACGTTCACTAACCAATAGCAGGACTCCTTACTCACACATGGCATCAGGGAATATTAATATACTATTAACTACAATCAAAATGGCGTTCTCATTTAAGTTAATGGCACAGTGTCTTCCAAACTAAAACTACCCCCCTGTGGTTGTATGCCTCCACCAACCAGTCCAATTTCAATCCCTCCAGGTGTTCCTGACTTATTACATTGACAAAAATATGGACTTTAAACCTCCCAAAACTAATCACAAATTCAACCTTCGGGTCTAAGAAAACATATTTTGTGATGCCACAATGACCTTGCCCTTGGACTAGTTTGTGCCAAATTTGATGAAATTCCCTCAAGACATTCTTGAGGTGTTCATGGGACCGATGGACATACCACAACAACCCAAAAAACATACATTCCTCTAGACACAGGCTGTCACTTGCACGACAGCATTTAAATAAATTCTGATGATTATAATATAACAATACATCAGGAACCTAATTTCAAAAATCCTTATTCAGTGTTGTTTGCATGTTGGTTTTCCTCGTCTGAGTTTGTCAAACCTGTTGTAGTTCCTGATCAGCAGCAGTACTCTCTCCCGTGAAACTCTGAGCTTCTCCCTTTCCAGGTAAATGTCATACGCAAATTGGGGGACCTCAAACCTGAGTCGATCCCAGCAGTCAATCTCAGAGAAGAGGCTCAACAGATTGCTGGACGAGAGAAAACACAGAAAAACCCCCAACAAAATAAATAATGAGTAATTGCACAACATTTGCCAGGTGTGTGTCAAAGTACACAGATGACATTGTACAGTGTAAGACATCTCATGAATGTATGCTTAAATGAAAATGCTCTGTGCACCCTGTCTTGTAAGTTGAGTTTCTGCCACCCACTTGTCAAAGTTAATGTCCAGCTTGGCAGGGTTGTGCTTGCAGCGCACCAAGAGTGGCTGCTCCAGTCCCCTCAGGCACTGTGCATCCAGGTTCCTCTTCCACTCATGGAAGTTGTTCTTCACCATCTCATCCAAAACCTGGACCGTCTGGCCGTAGCTGAGAACGAGCTGCTTGCGGCTGTATGAATCCGGTATGAAATGGGCCTTCTGGAGCACCTGAAGGAGAAAAAAACTATACAAAGTAAGAATCTGGCAAGGATGGAGGTCCTGAAGATACACTTGTCTCAATAACTAGTGTGTGCCAAGGCTATAAGAAATAGAATACTGTGTAATCCAATGGGCTCACCTCCATGGAACTGTCAATGCGATGTCTGAGGGCCATTAACCAGTGGGTGTGTCCTGCAATCTGGGACTTGTAGTCTGGAAAAAACCTTGTCTTCTGGTTCAGCTCCTTGTTGACCACTTTGAGATCCCTGTTAAAGATGTTGTACACTTCCTCCACCTTCTCGTCTGTGGTGCTCTTAATGGCCTGTGATAGAGTAAAGAGAAAGATCAGATCCATTGTATGAGGGTAAGAGAGGTGAAACGTTGAGCAGCAAAGAAAATAGAATGAGAGTTTGCTAATGAGCCTTGTACTGAATGCTACGCTCATTGAGAACGGAGACAAATTTGGAGGAGAGGAAATGAAATGAGAGCTAGACAAAACAAGCACAAACTATACATCAGCACCAATATGATAAGTCTTTTTGCTCTTGGTGCAGTGCAGTGATAAAAGAGGCAGCTCTCTATGAACTCTTTGGGTTTAGGTTAACCATAACAAACTGCAGAGACAATGAGCATCCAAGATTTCATATGAAGAAGGTGAGCAGATGTGTTTAGGTGAGTAATGCATTTTGAGTTAGGGTGTAAAGGGCTTGAATTAACATGGAAGGGTGTGTGTGTACTTGTCAGATATATATTTGTGAGGACCATCTTGAGCAGAGACCTTACAGAGCGAGGACATTTTGCCCTCTGCTCATTTTCTGACTGATGTGTTGTTTGAGGGATAAGATTTGCTTTTATTGTTGGGGTTAAAACTAGGTTTAGGCAAGGGTTATTTAGTTGTGTATTAAATGTTAGGGTAAGAGGCTGGGAAATGCATTATGCATATCAGTGTCCTCAATAAAACAGAGGTTTAGAAACACATGTTGTGATTCAGGAAAGAATGAATTTGCAACCTTGACGGAATGATGTTGGAATAATGCACTGTGTTTGTGTGTGTGTGTGTTTGTGTGTGTGTGTGTGTTTCTGAGAGACACCTCTCGAGCAGACATGGGCCTAAAAATATCCAGAAGCCGAACTCCTTCCTCTATTGTGTTGACCGTCTTAAACACTGAATTGATCAAGTTCCGCACCAACATTTCCAGATCCTTCACCAATGCGTGAAACCTACAAAAGAACACATCCATACATGGAAACACAGGCCCATGACAATCAGCTGAACAAAAAACAAAAAGCACACAATGAAAGGACAGTAAACAGCTTTGGATAGAGATCAGCCAAAAAGATAGTTGAAATGTTGGCTTTTTATGAATGTGTTACACAGCAATAGACCTACTTGTAGAATTCATTGCACCACCCGGTGTCCATGACATTAAAGATGCCCTTGTCAACAGAGCGCAGGCTCTGTAGGCCACGGTGGAAGTTGTCCTCTATCTTCTGGAGGAAGCGAGTGAACTCTGGTCCCTGGCAGCCGCCTAAGCACGGCAGGGGCCTCTGCTGGCCATCCTCCCAACGGGCAAACTGATGCTGGCAGTCACATACCTGAGAGTGCAAAAAGTGCCAAATTAGAGTAGAAGGCTGTTGAATATATTGGATATACTAAATGTATTGCAGGTCACTATGGACACAAGATGAGGGAAAAAAAGAGCAAACAAAACAAATCTAAGCTTTTCATATATCACTCCCATCATTAATGTTAGAAGTAATTACACTTAAGTTAATCCAATGCAGGATTTTTCATGACACAACACTGGTAGAGAGATATTGTAACAGAGGTTTGAATGTTGAGTCAATGAAAGTAAAAGTGTTGTAACCAGTGAGTCAAATACTGACATAAATACCCTCGATATCTTTACAGAGGCTGAAGACTCAGGCCCTGTTCACATCTGCTATTAACATCCATCCTGAGAGACCAGATCACTCGTTGTCAGCTCTAAGGAGTGTGTTCAACTTGTTTTCACCAGCTGTATGCAGGAATAATGTGTTGATCTTTTCTTTTGTGTTCACACAGCTTAAAGAACAGGGCCCCATGCATCCCAGGCCTTGTCTGAATGTGGTTGGAGTGATCAGGTCTCAGGAAGGATTGAGGATGCATTTATGTGCATTCAGACCACTTCTGATTGGATCACTAAAGATGGAGGTTAATACCAGGTTGTGTAGGTGGGTTGACATAACAGTGATATTCATTATTATCAATAAAAACGTGATTTGATGGCAGCTTTGACTTGTTCATCATCAGGAACTTTTGCATTTGCTTCAGCATTTATTTACAGAGCGATTCCCTTATTCTGACATGAATTTTAATGTGAATGTATGCAGTTGTTGTCTAGACATGCACTAATGTGTGAGAATGTGTGAGTGGGGGAACATTTTTACCTCAAGCAGGCCTCTGAATCGCTGAATGAAAGCATCAACCACCACAAAAAAGCTAGTGTGATCCAGGTCCCAGGCTTTTGAAGAATACCTGGCAACAGAAAGGCAACAGGGGGAAAGAAAAAAAGAGGATAGAGAAAGTAGAAAGAAATTAGAGAAAGGCTGAAACTGATGTGAAGAGACTATTGCACTGAGTTAGCAAATTAACAAACAAATTACACAAGGACATCTCTGATCTGCACCCTTAAGATCGCACCTGCTTGGACCCTTTCGTTATAACTGGAACAAGCTTCTAGAATAAGAGGTGATCTGTGACTTCAGATATTCTAAACTCTTTCAAATCAAGGCGATACTGTTTTTCATTGCTCTTAAATGATAAATGGCCTTGCAACCAAATACCTTTCAGATTTATTTATCTAGTACGTGTCCTCTGCATCGCTAAGATCTGCAGATGGAGTTCAGCTGATAACTCCCAGGTCTCACTGTGCAACAAAGGGTGACTGAGCCTTTGCGATCAGAGCCTCCACATTATGGAATTCCTTCCACATGATTTCTCTCTTTTAAATCCCTTCTTAAAATTTTTATTTTAATGAAAGCTTTTGTGAATGGTTGACATTGGCTCTTATTTAGAATTAGTATTCTTATTTTTTGGGTTAGGGTCAGATGAGAGGTGAGATTTCACCTACTTTTGGTGAGTCTTCGAAGCGTGCAAGTATACTTCCTTCCAGGACTCGCAGCACTGGATGCAGTCGCTGAGGACTTGTTTGCTGGATAACACATAGCCCTCAAAGATCCTGTCCAGAGAGATGCTCTGGCAGCACAGGCGGATGATGTCATTACTCATCTGCAACATGGCAGAAAACAAACATTTAAGTATTGGGAGACCAAAACATTTACAAATATAGACTAAAATGTAGTCATTTTACACAAAAGCCACATTTTTACATTGTAACATTAAACATTTTGCATGTTAATTGTTATGAGTTTTCTAATGTCCTTTTAGTTGGTAGCAAGCGCATCACAATGATTAACTTTATTTAGCTCTGCCCTCCAGACTGTCACAAAAGTACAGGTACATCTCTGCAGAAATCCTTTGTTCTAACTTTTCAGTCTTTTATGATTAAACAACCAGACATGGTTAAATCTATCTGCAATGTACAGGAGGTCAATGATTTCAGAAAAACAAAGCAAAGACGATATCAGTTGCAGGTGCAGACATCAGAGAGGCAACTGATCAGCCATTATGGTCATTATTTCAGCAATGATGACGAAGAAGAAAACATAATGTTCGGCAAAGATAACAGTGGTGGAAGAGGAAGGAAAACAAAAGCAGTGCAACAGGGCACCAGACGACATTCGGCTAGAACATAACTCCACCAATTATTTTTCCTTTGGCCTGTGGAGTTGTACTCATAAAGGATGAATGAAAACAGTGATCAGGTCTTTTATTCAGTGCATTCCCACAGCGAAAGGTTATCTATCAATGTTGCTCTGGGGACTCATCCATGGACAAAGTTATTGCCTTGAAGTAGCACATCTATTCATATTCTAAGAATAGCTATTATTTAAATATTTAGGGTGGATTGCAGTGTGTGGGTATATGACAGTGTGTTCAAATAAGGTGTGTGTGTGTGTGTGAGAGAGAGAGAGGAATGGTAACAACAGAGTACACCCGATCACTTTGATGATGTAAATCGCAGGTACCTTGCGGAAAAGACCGTTGATCTTCTCAGTCGTGTTGTAGTGGTTGGATTTGACCCAGATGATGCGAATGAGACTGATGATGTGTTGCAGTTTAGGAGTGACTTGGCTCAGCTTGAGCTTTGCAAGTTCCTCGCAGGGCTCCTTCAGTGTGGACAGGTGGGAAAGGTTTGACTGGGCCTGCAGCAAGCAATCCTGGTAAACACACATACACAAATGAAATGTGATATTAATTGTTTAATTCTTCATTATTCCATCTCTTTGGTGCTTCAGCACCTTAGAGTGTGAAAATGATTGAGGGTGTATCCTGTGCGATAGTGGTGCTACCAATGCCAGTGGCTAACAAAGAAGTAACTGAGTAGTGTTGGGGAGCTCTTATCTGAGGCCACTTTTTCAGGTCATCCTCACATCCCTCGATAGTAGAAGGCAGAGGAACGATTACATTTTCTCACATGAGGTGTAACAGGTGAGAGCGTACTGTAAGCATGCACCCCCCCTTCTGTGCACAAGCATGAATACCCTTGATGCTGATTGGCTAAAACAGTGTTGTCACTTTCAGATCATCCAGCTTTCTTTCTTTACCGAATACAGAGTAGGGGCTGTGCAAGCCAGATTTATTCCAGCACACAAACAGAATGTACAGCTTGTGAGGACATATTGGCAAAATGTGACCTAAAGTACTGAATCAATACAGCTTACCTCACGGTCTTGATAAAAAAAAAGATCATGCACATATAGGGGACTAATATCTAATATAGGAGCGTGTGTATTTTGTTAAAGTGTGAGATTATTTAGGCTTGATGCTTGCAGACTTCCTGTACCTGTATTTCCTCGGCCAGTTTGCAGAAGCGCGGAACATACAGAGAGTTGGAGAGCTGCAGGATGTTCTTGATGTGCCCGACTTGAGGCTTTTGTAGCTGCTGCATGACTTCTGACAGCTTGACACAACGAGTCTCCCAGAAGGTGATCTCCTGCAGCAGGCCACAGTTGTCCCACCTATTCAACATCTCTGAACCGTGCAGGAGCTCCTTGATCTGATCCGTCCAGTGGATGATGATAGCTGAAATCGGTGAGTGGCAGAAGCGGTAAATGTTGAGATGGATGGATCAATTTAAACATACACACATACACACACACGCGTTCACAGCTCCTCAGGCTTACATTCCATTCTCTGAACCTGCTTCCTGTCTTTGCTGGCCTGCTCAGGGCTGCATTGTAGGCCTTCCATTGGGATGTATAGGACTATGTTGCCCCGATTCTTATAAACTTCATCTGTTAAAAAATAAAATGACATAAATTATTACACTGAATTATGTGTGCATATGACTCTATGGAACTCTCTTATAGTCAATGTGGTGCACAGTTTTCATCATTTCTATCTTATCATCCTGGCTTAGAGTCCATCCTGTACACCAGGGTCCTCCTTCTACATACAATTGCAGTAAACCCACAATTTGCAGTCAGAGAAGGACAAATATTAGAAAATACGTAATCTACTGGTCTATTTAAAAGACAGAAGTAGTCTACTTTCAACTCAGCTGCATGAAAAATCACCTCAAAGGAAAAAGTATAGTTTTTATTAATAGGTTCATTCATTTCACCTAGATCTAGAATTATTAGTCAACTGTCTCACAGTTTTCCCACGAGGTACCCACCAGTGAGGCTGGCAAAGTAGCAGTGCATGCTGTTGGTGTAGCTGTCCTTGATGCTCTTCTCCATGTTCGTGCTGAGGGCAACTGTGGGGGCGTGCAGACAGGTCATGTCATGGAGCAGTGTCTTGGTGACAGAGTCACACACTGTGCCAAACTGTACGGCCGTGTCAAACATCTCTTCTGTGATTATGGCTCCTGGCGTGCGTATAAAATAGTTCAGCTGCTCTGCCACCTGTCCCTACAAAAATGAATTTCCAGGTGCATTGGTGAAGAGAAACAGAAGGAGAACACAGAGAGGAACTCGCCAACTCTCTATGGTGAAGCACATTCCCTATAGTATTAAATTTAAAGTGAAAAGTGTGCTGTACCGGTAGGGGCATGGAGAACTCCACCAGTAGTCTAGCACTGGTGTCCATGTAGACCAGCATGGTTGTGATAGACGTGTCAATGATAAATTGATCCAAAGCCCTTTCATTCTCCTTTGTCCACGACTCTTCTGTTACACCAGAAATAGTCACACAACGGATAAACACCTTCAAGAGGATGGTAAGATGAAAAGATCAAACCATGGAGAAATGGAGAGAGGGAAAGAACATACAACGTTAATTTAGTTGGGTAATGTCCGTGCATACCAAGGAGTGAAGAAAGAATAAGTGTAAATTACAAATTCCAATTAATGACCCAGCTATACCAGGCGAAGGGTCTTTAAGTTGTCCTCTTCCATTTCTTTCAAAGCTCAAATCCTCCTTTTCCTGTGAAACACACACATACAGACATATTGAAACATCCATGGTACACATCATGGGTCTCACATTTCCTGTTATTTCATGCATGAATGTTTCTTTGCTACATGTTTGAAATAAATGTATTTCCTCATTTAATATT